ACCTGGCCATGCCGGGCCACCCATATAAATGGCTAGCACGATAAGGTTCCAGAGGCCTGGAAACCATCCATATAAACAGCTAGTTAACACGGGGTATATGATAACCCCGCGATTTCTCCCCACGCCAAATTAGCGCCTTCATCGACCATTATAAACCTAGAGTATCCATCATCTCACGAAGACGAGAATCTTACGACGGAGAGGAATTTTTCTCCACCCCTCAAGCCATACTGACTTAACGAATTTTGTAGTCCCTGAAATTCCTTCTTACATGTGATCTGCTCAACCCCCTAAAAGCAAAACTCACCTTTTCACAGTTTTTCTCAGACGCGTCGGCCTTACCATTCCACCTGAGGAAATCCAACATTCTCTCGAACAATCGACCAACACAAAGTTAAACGCAGTTCACCGGATCCACTCCCGACTAACTGGCAAAACTACTCCATTCATGAAGATTATCACACTATCCAAACCAACAGCAGATCTTATCCTCAATCACAGGGGCTATTTCCAATACTTTCACTTCAAAGCCTTACAAGGGCAATAATCGACAAGCCTCACTACTTACAGCCCTATCAAATAATCGACAATTTCTCAACCCTTTAATTCTAGTGACACCACACACTACTTCTCCCACTGCCGACCAATTTACCAGAAAAAAAACAAAAAAACTATAAACTTCCACCACTGACCAAGCCACCCAGACTGATTTCTCGGAAATCAAAGATGCAACCACATCAGCAAATATTATCAGTTTTGCCACTCAGTCTACGCTGGCGAAGCCCCACGCAAGAAGAAAATCCATGCAAACTCAACCACATCCACTGCCAACCTTCAGCGATGAATCTTTCTGTAACCTTTCTCAACGATTCCGGCCCACACCCATCGATCTTACACTACCCGAAGACTTCTATCACTTTGACTCAACCTACCGGGATTATAGCGAAGACGGCGATTACGGTCGTACCATTCCAAGCTTACAACATCCTGAACGCAACTATCTTCTGAGAAACTAACCCTCGTTTTCTCAGCCACTGACTTTCTTTTCCGTTCAGGACGTTTCTCGAGCACGGCCCGGGCATAAATTATTGGCGCCTGGACCGTAAAAGTGGGTTTTCTCGGGGCACTCCCGTTTATAGATTGGTTTGTGGATTTATAGGTTGCTGCCACCCTGAAGGACCCTTTGTACCACAGGGGCTGTTTGGTTTCTAAAGTCTGGATTTTCCTTATTCATGGCTCTCTGGACTCCTTCTGACTCCTTGAGGCATCATCTTCAAATCTGCCATGTCAACACAATCTTCCTTAAGTACTCTTAAATTATAAAATGTCAAGTACAGCCCACATCACCACCATGAGAGGGGTGAAAAGAAACTAAAGCTTCTGAGTACCCCCGGTAAACCCCCAAGGTTTCACCTCGGAAGATCTCATACCGAAATTACTGTCACGTATTGTTGTTGTTGGTACATGATAAGGTTCTAGAAGAAAGAAAAATATCCATATAAACGGCTAGTTAAGACATGGTACATCATAAGGTTCTAGAGGCT